CCTTCCTGCCCCCTCTCCTGCCGGGACGCTGTCACGGAGGGGGGCCCTGTCCGTTTCTGGTGAGCGTTAGGGGAGACGGGATGCCTTTCTGGGCCCTAACTTCCCGGAAGGCAGACCTTACCACATGCCCCACACTCCGGCTGCTTCCTCACCGTCAGACCTGGATGGCCAGGACTCTGGCCTCAGTGAAGGGCACTTCCAGCCTCCAAACCCCAACTGACCTGGACGATGCTGCGCAGGCAGGGCGAGTGGTCTGAGGTCCCGAGCGTCCAGGCTTCTTCACACCCAGGACAGGCCTTCCCTCCGTCACAGCTGCTCTCCTCACAGATCTTCCTTCCCCACTCTGAGCCCCAGGATCTCGATCCTCCCCCTCCTTCACCACTTTTGATCCCCCAACCCCGGTCCCTGAGCCTGTGGCTCCTCCATCTCAGCAGCCTGAGAGCCCGCCCCCCCTACCCAGCGGATCCCACGGCCACCACCCCGTCTCACACCCGCTCCCGGGCAGGTTTCGGCTCTCTTCCTCCCCCACTCGGGCACTAGCCTTAACGTGCCCCTTGGAGAGATTGCTGGCGCCAAATCTGGCTTCATGCCCAGGGCCACCAGATACCCTCCACCAGCAGGCCCCTTGCGCCCCCCCCCCTCCCCCAGTCGGAGCGGACGCTGTCCCTGACAGGGACCCACAATGGAACCATCAGGGAGGCAGGCAGGTCTCAGGTCTCAAGACCACACTGTTCTCTGCCTGGAAGGACTGAGAAACGTAGCCCACAGAGCAGTTAATTATAAACGATTAGCAGAGGTCACCCAGGAAAGACATGAAGTCCGGCAGTCTTCCTCTCTGGCCTTACACAGGCCATGAGAAAATACATCAATCTTGACCCTACAAGCCCAGAGGGGACAAACCCCCCAACGAGACCTTTTAAACATGACCTTTAAGGTGCTTAATAATAGAGATGAGGAGACCCAAACCCAAAAACAAAAGATGAGATCAGGCCAAGGCTGAAGCCCAGATGAAGGCCTTTCAGCTCCTAGCCACCGCTCTCATGACCCCAAACAAAGTGCCGGTCCTCCAACAAGGGTAGGACAGGGCTAAGCCTCCTCCAGGCCCTGCTTCAAATGCAGCAAGAGAGGACACGGGCCAAGTCCTGCCCAAACCCAAGACCCCCGCCTGGGCCCTGCCCAAGGTGCGGGAGGGAAGGCCACTGGAAATCAGGCTGTAGTCTGGCCCCTCCAGGTCAGACGTCAGCACGGCCGCCCTCTGGATCCGGTTTGGAGCTCCCAGACCTCCTGGGACTGGGCACCGAAGACTGAAGCTGCCCAGGCCCCGACAGGGCCGCACAGACTTCCATCACCAGGGCAGAGCCTCGGGTAACAGCTGTGGTGGCACATAGCCGATCTCCTTTTTAACTGACACGGGTCACTGCCCTCTCTGAATTCGCTGGGACCCTTGTCCCCTCCTCAGTGTCTATTATGGGGGTTGACAAATTAGTCTCACAGTCATTAGCCACCTCACCTCTACACTGCATCTTGCTAAATAACCCTTATCCACTCTTCTTGCCCGACTGAAACGGTACAGCCATCCCTCATAAAGCCCAGCTGTCCCAAACAACATTCACCTACTTCAGTTTCACTCACCCCACAAAGCCATGTCACTCCTTAAACGCCTTATCTCCTCCATCACTCTCCCCTCCTCTAAACAAGAAATACTCTCCTTTCTCAGTCTCGCTAGGTACTCTCGCCTCTGAGTTCCCAATTTCAGCTTTCTTACAAAGCTCCTCCATAACATGACACGGACAAGGGACTCCTCACTGAGCCTTTAGATCCCTAGGCCAGCATTCTCACCCCTTTAACTCTGAAAACTTCTCCGACCTCAGCGCCTTCTCACACCCCCCCCTTCCCAAAGAACAACTTTATTTACTGCAAAACTACAAACGCTTACTTAACAGTCTGGCTACTATCATAAGCTGAACTCATTATCACCCAAACCTTAACATATTATCTCTAAAGAGTTTTAAATCCAAGCTGCTAGAGGCCTGCTCCCTCCTCCCCCCACCTTTTCTCCAGCCCCATATGCCTATACATAATTTTCCAAAGTTTTTAGCAACTTAAAACTTTAAAACATTACTATATTAAATGATAAACATCTAAATATTTCAACAAGTGTTAAGTTCACCTAATTTTAGCTTTTATTACAGAAAATCTATAAAGTAAATTTAAAACTGTTAATATAATGTCTTGTGCTTTGTTAAAGATATATTTCTTAAAAGTAAGAATGTTGCCCTGACCGGTTTGGCTCAGTGGATAGAGCG